GCTCAACGGCTCTGAACGGCTCTAGCCCAAGCTGTGATATAAACGAACACTATTGGCTATTTTAAAAAGGGGCGGGGCTGCTTGATATGTCCCGCCCTGTCTTCCTGTTTCAGTTAAAATGATGCCAACACATAGAGTAACGCTGCGTGTTTCTAAGCATTTCAGGAGACCTTTAAATACTAATAGACATTAATTTGTGATATAATGTGTGCGGGGCCGGGAATCATGCTACATTTTGTTCAATGGGACCATGCATTTAAGTGACAAGATGTTTATAGGACAAAGATTTGAAAAGGTTTTTTTTTTTTTTTTTTTTTTTTTTTGCATTTTCTATACTAACTGTGGAGGAAAAATTATTTGACTCTTAAAGGCATGGTCCACCCAAAAATGAAAATTCTGTCTCATTTACTCACCCTCATGATGTTCATAACCTGTATGACTTTATTTCTTCTGTGGAGCATTTTGTGTCCATACAGTGAAAGCCAGTGGAAACCAAAACTGTGTAGTTTAATTTTTGGGTGGTCTGTCCCTTTAATATGGAAGCTTGTTTCTGCCATGGGATGGATGGATGGATGGATGGATAGATAGATAGATAGATAGATAGATAGATAGATACTGTTACTTAATAAGGTACTAACTGTTTATCTCAGAATTGTAAGGAAAAGGGTCCTTTTTTATATTTTTTTATACCATGGCAGAAACAGGCTTTCGTACTTTAATGTCCGGTTTAATGTGAAAAAATAATAATAATAAAAATTATATAATACTATATAACAATTATATAACAATATAATAATAATAATACTAATAATACAATTCTGTCAGATAATTGTTTATTTTCTTTGGTCTGGCATAATTAAAGTTTTTTTTAAAATGAGTGTTTAGCGGTTATAGCAGCAGCCTTAATTAACCCAGTTTGAATGTTCCAGAGCAAACAGTCTAATTTAATGAAGCATTAGAAGCATTGTGGCTGTTCACTATTAAAAACCTTATTAGTGATATTGACTCCTCTAATGACCCATTAATGATTTTGCATACTGCTTCACCATGGTTACTGTGATACCTGCCAAATCGGGTGACACAGGTTTCCAGTAAGATAAATATGACTACTGTTGTTGATAAATAAATACCATTTTACTTTTAATGATAATAAGACTTCAGGAGTAGTTTCATATACAATTTGAACAATGCTTATAAATGGTGTAGTTTTCTCAGTTGTTTGCCTGCTGAAATCCATTTTACTAGCTAAAGATGTTAAATTGTAAAGCCATTTTCTTATAGAAGAGCTATTTCTTTTAAAAAGAGCCAAGTTCCAAATCTGTCAAGCGTTCTCTTCAAAACAATCGCATTGTCCTCCCAGTCTAAACCTGTTTAGTATACAGTTCTCACTATGTGAACTTTATCAAGCAGAATTATTTAAACACCCTTTAGAATCTCACTAAAGTAGCTACAAAAGGGTCCATCAGCTTCAGGTCCAAGCAAAGTGCTCAAATAAAACAAGAGGAAAATGTACAAGAGGGCGGAGGACAAAAAGAAGGAAAGCCTTTTCTCAGATGAGATCTGTGCTACTGCAGTTGACCTTTTCTATGGTGGGCTGAAAGGAATATGAAATATGAAAAGCCGGAATTTGTGAGATCATACAGGGGCTTCTGACCACAGCTACAGTACAGTAACAATTACCTGTGATGTAGATCTGATTCTCTACTGACTCCAGACAATTCTGAATATGCTGATTCCGAATACATGTGATTTTCCGTTCTTTATCCAAAAGATATTTCTGAATATTTAGTTGATTGTTTGTTGTTGTTTTGTTTTTGAAGTGTTTGTAGTTTTCATCTAACATTAGGATTCTTTTTCTTTTTTCTTTTTTTCTTATTTTTTTTATACATTTGATGGATTTCATTCACATCCAAACCTATAGGGATTGTCTTTTTTCCCTAATTATTTTTTCCCAAAATAAGCACAAATATAACAATAATAATAATGTAAGCACAACATTAATACTGTTTTACTTGCTTTAATGTTTACTCTGGAAAATTATACATGGATTCTCAGTTAAATTGAGGGACATATATATTTTTAATAAAGTGTTGGTGCTTAATTAT